AATCTGCTGCTGTTGCTGTGGGAGAAGTGCCCCCCCCCCAGCCAGGCAGCTGTGGGCGTGGAGCCCTGAATCCCTAGCTGGGCAGAGCTCGTTAAGCAGCTGTGGGGTCGTGCTGCTGTGCAGCTTAGAGGGAACCTTGCCCTGCTACCACCTTCGCCTCCTTCAGACTTTCCTGAGATGATTCCCAACTCCCCCAGCAAAGCCCACAGCCTTGAGTTGCAAACCCTGCGTCGAGCACCGTCCCGTTACCGTTATCTCCCCCCATGCCATGAGGACGGCCAGGCTGGAGACGTGGTTGCAGTTGCACGTGGTGTGAGTGGTGTTGAAGCGCAGAACCCTGCACCCTGCCGGAGACCAGCTGCCTCTCTGGGCTGTGGTTTCCCACGAGACACATTTGGGCTTCTCGTAGCGGTTGCTTGGCTGCAAAAAATATATATATATATAAATATATAAAGTAAAAAGCAGAAGGAATAATAATATAGGATAGAAAAAACACGGTGCCAAGAGCATGGGTCAGGGTCTCCCATGCTGTGAGAGGCAGATGGGCAGAGGCCAGGGATGGGGTACACATGAACCTCCTCCAGCAGGGGTACGTCTAAACTACATGCCTCCGTCGATGGAGGCATGTAGATTAGCCAGATCGGCAGAGGGAAATGAAGCCACGATTAAAATAATCGCGGCTTCATTTAAATTTAAATGGCTGCCCCGCTCTGCCGATCAGCTGTTTGTTGGCAGATCGGGGCAGTCTGGACGCGCCGCGCCGACAAAGAAGCCTTTAAATTTAAATGAAGCCGCGATTATTTTAATCGCGGCTTCATTTCCCTCTGCCGATCTGGTTAATCTACATGCCTCCGTCGACGGAGGCATGTAGTCTAGACACACCCCAGGAGTCCACATTTCAGGAACAACCATACTACAGAGGAGGAAGCTGCTCTGTGTGCTGCTACTCCCCTCCCACAGCTGGGGAAGACCAACACAGTGACGTGCTTCTCCTGGGGCTTTCCCCCACCACTCCCATAGCAGCGGGCTCAATGTCTGGGGATGCCATGGGGCACAGAGCCAAATGTGTCCCTGTGAAAGGGGCACCAGTTAAACATCCCATCCCTATTGATGTGTAAAAGGGAAGTCAAATCCCCCGGAGCCATTGATTCCCCTATGAGGGGCACGTACAATATACATACATTGCTAATGCTTAGATATATTTGCTATTTGTATAGGAGTAAGACATGACAAAGGTCAAGGCCTGTCACAGGTAATAACTTATAATAAGGAGACGAGGGGAAGTGAAACCAGTCTTCTGTTAAGTAGAGATATGGATAGATTCCACATCCTTTAAACTTGTGACCGGCTCAAGCAGGAAAGGAAAAAGGGAAGTATGGCTTGCCCATTGTTCAGCAAGTAGGCACTGTATTTAACCTCATTTGGAAAATTAACCTGACCTATAGGAATGCTAAATGTCAAAGATGAAGTAACCTATCATGTTAAGGCACCTAAACCAGGAAAGATGTGAACCCTATAAAAACCCCTGCCTATGAGATGTTGGGGGTCGGCTCTGCTTTGAACGTTGAGTTCCTTAGCCAAGTGAATGAATGTAACACAGCTGTAACTGCAAAGTCAGCAAGTAGGCACTGTATTTAACCTCATTTGGAAAATTAACCTGACCTATAGGAATGCTAAATGTCAAAGATGAAGTAACCTATCATGTTAAGGCACCTAAACCAGGAAAGATGTGAACCCTATAAAAACCCCTGCCTATGAGATGTTGGGGGTCGGCTCTGCTTTGAACGTTGAGTTCCTTAGCCGTACCTTGGTTGCAACCAATAAACTTGAGTTGGACCCAGCCTGAAAGTGTGACTCTCTTCTTGGGGTAAATCAGACTAGCCTCCAAGGGGACGAAACCTTGCAATTTATGCAACACTATCACACCCAGACCGCACAGCACCCTCTCTGGCTCAACAAATTCTTTAATCTGGCATGCCCTGTTTCCCAGAGTTGATGATTTAAGAAGTTCAAGTGTATTGGATTGGGACTCAGGATACCTAGGTTTTAGTCCTGGCTCTGCCACTGGCCTTGACTAAGTCATTCACCTGCTCTGTGCCTCAGTTTCCCCTTTCTATAGACAAAGGCCAGGTGTACCATACAGCCGTCCACTTCCTTTACTCCTTGCGAGGAGTAGGAGTTCCGCTGCTGATGGGGGTGTGGTCTCAGTATTCGATTTAGCAGGTTTTTACTAGGACCACCCAATCGAACACCAGAAGATCAACTGCCACAGCATCGATCTTCTCCATAGTCTAGTCGTGGCCTAAGCTCTTGGTGACAAGGGCTGTCTCATGTGATGGGCCAAGCCTGCCACAAGGGGGCGCTGATTTCAGCAAGCGCATTAGCACCAATCCCTAATAGGAGGAGAGAAAGGCCCTCTATTACCCTACCACGGACAGCGGGACAGAGGACACCTATGAGGTGGTTTTGGAAGATCCTCTGGGTCTGCCTCAGTGCAGCTGAAGCATCCTTTCCCTGCTCATCGTATTAACCGCTAAAGTGCTCTCCCTCCATCAAGCAAAGCGTTTTACAATGGTCACTAACATTAGCCTCATTTTACAAGTGGGGAAACTAAGGCATGGAGAGAGCCTGGGTGTGTGTGGGGAGAACCAGCAGAACCAGGAATGGAAGCCAAGTCCCCCACCAGTGCTCTATCCACTAGGACACACTGTCTCCCCAGTGTTCCTCTTTGCTCACTTTTCCTGCTTCCCAAATCCAGGGTCTGGACGTTAATGAGTCTGCTCTTGAGCCTTAGTTAATGGAGGTGGCCTATTAATGGCTGAAGCTGAGTCAGACTTGCAGCTCCAAAGATCCTGCGTTCACATTCCCCCAGGGCAGCATCGTGCTGGGGGGAGAACACAGGAATCCCTCCCACCTGAGAGCTAATTCAGAGCCACTCCTCCCGCCCCCCTCTCCCCACCCCCAGAGGAGCCAGGCTGCTCCTGAAAAGCCAGGCTTAACCCCAGTGACTGCTCATGGAGGGATTTACCATGATGTGCTCGAAGGTGTAGTTCGCTGGATCTGTGAAGTTGGTCTTGGTCTGGCTGGTCAGCCAGGCACTCACCACCCTGGAAATCATCCGGACAGCGTGGCCAGAGGAGTCCTTCTGGTCTTGGAAGAAGCTGCCATTCATGATGGTTTCCATGCCCACGTAGGAGGCAAACGCCACTCCAGCCGCTCCTGCAAGTGTCCCCAAGGAGAAATTGGGTGGGTTGGCAGCTTCTTTCCCCACATTCCACTGTGGGACTCACCAAGAGCTGTGCAGCCCCCAGCCCTGCTCCAGGTGTTGTATAATGTTCTGCTTCCATAGAGCTGGGAAGAGAACCCAGGTGTGTGGATAGCCACATGTTTACTCGTTGCTGTAGTGCAGACAGCAGCGTCACCAAAATGGGGGTGGGGGCTCTAAATACACAATACATTGGGAACTCCTTAACTTTGGGGCTTTGTTTTAATGTTAGAGTGTTATAAGGGGTGGGTGGCTCTTAAATTCCCCCCAAACAGTGAGACCCCAAGAACTTTCTTCTCAAAAAATAGAGTCACAGGATACTAGAACTGGAAGGGATCTCAAGAGGACAGCTAGTCCAGTCCCCTGCACTCACCAAGTACCAAATCATCCCTGACAAGTGTTTGTCTAACTTGCTCTTAAATAGCTCCAAGGATGCAGATTCCTAGGGAATTTCTGCCAGTGTTCAACCACTCTGACAGGAAGTTTTTCCTAATGTCCAACCTAAACCCCCTTAACTGCAATTTAAGTCCATTGCTTCTTGTGCTATCACCAGAGGTTAAGAAGAATATTTTTTTCTCCATCCTCCTTGTAACACCCTTCTAGGGACTTGAACATCTGATATTAACAGAGCTGACTAGTGAAAATCTTGAGTTTGGGACAAAACAAATGAAACTAAATGTTTGGTTTGAAAATGCCACCGCAATGTCTCGTGGGAGTTGTGGTTCAGGTGCTCCCATTTCTTCTCTATGAGACTGGCTCCCTGGTTGGACTGAATCTCCCATGATGCACCGTGAGAAACTTCTAGCCACAGTGCCTCATGAGAGATGAAGTCTGACTGGAGAGTCAGGCCCATGGGAGAATGAGGCAACAGGCTCATGATTTCAGAATCAAGCAGAACAACTGTTCAGGCTGAGGGCATTTTTAGCAGCCAGTTGTTCCACACAATCTAAGCGTTGTGCAGAAATCAGCCACTTCCTGAAGCACTGCACTTTCTTAGCACTCAATTTTCCACTGAAGAGCCGTGGAGATGGAACAGTCCCTGCCAGCCCTTGTTCTTTATTCTTTTAGTTCCCTTTATTCTAGCAGGCTTGACTAGGACAGAAGGAATTTATATTCGGAGGACTTAAGAACCAGGAATTGTCAATACAGCACAGAGGTCTGGTCCATGAGCCCCATGTCTCATACTTCTTCTATCACAAATCAGATCAATAGTCCATTTAGCTGGGTTTCCCACCTCGGTCTATATCGGCACAGAGCAGTGGTCCATCTAAGCTGGAATCTTCTGCTTCAGGGGGATTCAAATCTCCCGTACTTTAACTGTGCAAAACTGCCCCTTGGTGGGAGCCCACCCCCCTCCCACACCATATCAGGCAGCTCAGAAGTGTCCATCTCACACCAGTCCATGCCCAGTGGTGTTGACAAGGTACCTTGTGCTGTTGATCCCTGAACTGTTTTACATCTAATCTCCATGCTCTCCCCTTTGGCTCCCAGGTTGATGACAAAGTTCTCCCTGCTGCACCCGTCCGCAATGACTTTGGTCTGGACATCTAAGGAGACAGGAGAAGAGCACAGTCTGACAAGCACAGTGGCTTCTTGGACAGGAGCTGTCGGCCTAACAGAGCAGCAGGGGACGGCGAAGATAGAAGGAACCATCCAGTTAAGAGGGGAAAAGATTTTATGGCCATAGGAAAGAGACAGGGAGAAAGGTTCGTGGAGGCACTGGACCACGACTCCCCCCTCCCCCAGGTAGCACATTTTTCTATGGTGCTCCCCCCACCCCCAGGTCATTAGGAACAAGGGAGGATTGGGGAGCTACAGATGTGGACAGGGGATGGGGCCTGGCTTGGGAATGGGAACTGCAGCCTTCTGCACACGCTGGCTGAAGCTCTGAGAGCTGGGATCTAGGGGTACAGCCTTGTGGTTCAGGCAATCACCTGGAATGCAAGAAATCCCAGCTGAGCTGCCAGCTCCATCACAGACATCCTGTGTGACCTCGCACATTTCCTGCAGCTCCCTGCCTCAGTTTTTCCCTCTGTCAAATGGGGATAAGCAGCCTCCCTTTGTCTGTCTGCACTGTAAGCTCTTCGCAGCAGAGACCATCTGTCCCTCTGTGTCTGGGCAGCACTGCCCACAACCGTGTCCCGGTCTTAGCAGAGGTTTCTAGGTGCTACCGTAATGGTCATAATAAGGAGGCCATAGAGAAATGTGCTAACTGGATATGGCACCTGCTGATTGGTCCCCAGACAGGCTCCACCCCTACTTGGTCAGAGTCATGCTGCTTGTGATTTTCAGCTGCCACCTCTCCCTGCCCTGGTGCCCTGTCTTGTCCCCCTCCAGGCCTGGCTTCCTACCCAGCTCCTTCGTCCGGAAGGTCAGTTTCCTGTTCTCGGTGGGGTTGGTGAGGACGTCCATTACAATCCTCTCCACACTTTGCAGAACGATGGCGGCTGAGACAGAGAGCTGCTCCATGCTTAGGTTGGACCAGGAGGACGTCTGCTCCAGGATGGAGGCAAATCCCCCAGCGGCTTTCTACGGGAGGCCGAGTGAAAGAGAGCTCTTATTGGCTGTACTGCGTTACCCCGCAACTGTCAGCCAATCTCCTATGAGCTTCTATGGGCCCCGTTGGCTTGTGTCTCCTGCACAACATGTCCCCTCTTGTGGCTGATCCATCGAGGTCTGAGCCAGCAACAGGACTCGGGGTTCGCTCTAATGTCAACAGGCAGCTCTGAACGACTTCAGTGAGCCTTGGCTCAGGTGTTAGCAGCTCATGCTTCTAAAGCCGGGTGTCCCTCCCTGGTCCAGCCCTGCTGGGGGCCTACATGGCACCAATTAAGATTTCGCTGTAGCTCGGGTGGGCAATGATTTTTGATGAGGAGGAGCACTCCAGGAGTTTGGTAAGTGGTCAAGGGCCACACTTGTCTGAGGAGGGAGTGCGCTATCTGGGAGGGAGGTTGGCTGCAGAATAGGGATTTGATCATATAATCAAGTAAATGTATGGTTACATGCCAGTTCCTGCCCCGCTCCTGGTTGACAGTTGCCACCCCATGCTGCTGCCTCTGTATCAGCTTTAAAGCCAGTTTCCAGCGCACTCCAGCTCCCCAGGAGCCAGAGGGTAACTGCGTGATGGCTGCATTTTCCAGGGGTTATTCAATTCCTCGCTTTTTAAGGTGCCTAGGCAGAAGGGAGCCTGCGATAAGGGATTGGGGTGCAGGAGAGGGTGTGGGGTCTGAGAGGAACTTTGGGTGAAAGAGGGGGTTGTGACCTGGGGCAGGAGATTGGGGTGCAGGGTCCGGGAGGAGGTGGGGATGCAGAAGGAGATTCTGGCCTGGGAGAGGGATGGAAGATGGGCTGCAGGGTTTTGGAGGGATTTGTGACCGGCAGGAGGAAGAGGGCAGGGTGTCTGGGTGGTAACCTGGGGCAGGAGGGGTTGGTGATGTGGGGCAGGGAGGGGTGGTTGGGACAGGGTAAGATGCCAGATGCATACTCTGGCCAGGAGGTGCTTACCTAGGTGGCTCCCGGCCAGCTGCCCAGCAGGACCCTCAGGCAGGCTTCCTGCCCACCCCATCCCCAGGCTGCTCACAGGGCCTAGCTGTTCCATGTGCTGCATATGGGGGAAGGAGGGACTTTACACACTGCCCCCACCCCCAGCCCAATCGCAGGCCAGATCCAGAGGCTTAGTGGGCCAGATCTTGCCCACCCCTGCTCTACAGCAAGGTGCTGGTGAACCAAGACCCAGCTCAGCTCCGTGGAGGACCAATGGCATGAGCCCTTCTGGAGCTGCACCAACAGGCTCTGGAGGACGTTCCCTCTGCCCCCACCTCAAAGTGCTCATGGACTAGGCAACTGGGTAGAAGAGAAGAAGTAAAATGCTGCTCAGAGAAGGTCTGAAGTCATAGACCTGCTGTGCCCTTGAGTGCCCAGGGTTGGCCGTCCTTAGCAGAGTGTCATTTTCCAGCCCTCAGCCCCACTCTCTTTCAAGGAACTCTAACACATCCTCGCCCCTGGTCAGACTACAGGGTAGAATGAAGGGATCTATGGGGAGGGATTTTGTGGCCTATGTGATGAAGCAGGGTCTAGCTCTAGACATAATCCCAACCAGGCATACACAAGGATGGGGACTGAATTAGCTGTTACCACTGAACAGAAAGAGATCTTGGCGTCACTGTGGAGAGTTCTCTGAAAACATCCACTCCATGTGCAGCAGCAGTCAAAAAAAGCGAACACAACGTTGGGCATAATTATGAAAGGGATAGAGAATATCATATTGCCTCTATCTATATCCATTGTACTCCCACAACTTGAATACTGTATACAGGTGAATTTCTGTTACTCATTATTTTCCATAGGATAGCTTACAAGGCATTCTTTGTACAGAATATCATAGTAATATACATGTGGTGAATATGGTGGGTACAGGATGCTGTTTTGAGGTACAATATGTCACCGGAGGGAGGAGGAGCCTTTTAAAAGCTGGCTCGGAACAAGATTTTTAACCTAGAATCTGAGGGACGGACAGTCTGTGTATACTGACTATAGCTAGGGAGTACGCTGGGCTATGATTTTAAGGTGATTGGTAATTCTTCTTAGAAAACCAAATTTATCTAATAGATAATTAGAGTCTTTGTTTAGACCCTGCATAAAGTGTCAAATTTAAGCACAAATGACAATTCTGAAGCTTCTGGTTGAAGTCTGGAGTTAAAGTCTCTTTGAAGCAATATGCATGTTTTAAGGTCATTGAGGGAATGGTCAGTCTGGCTGAAATGGCAAGCAACAGCTTTCTCTCTGGGAGAGATTCTTATGTCTGTTTTATGTGCATTGATTCTTTGGCGAAGTGTCTGAGAAGTTTGTCCAATGTACACAGCAGACGGACACTTTAGGCACATGATGGCATAAATTATATTTCTGGATGAACAGGAATATGTGTTCTTGATCTTGTAATAGGCATGGTTAGGTCCAATAATGGTGACACGAGAGTAAATATGTGAACAAAGCTGGCACTGGGGTTTGTTGTAAGGGAAAGTTCCAGGGTTGGTATTAGTGTGGTATGTCCTGTAGTTGTAGGTAAGAATCATCCTGAGGTTAGGTGGTTGTCTATATTTCTCCGGGTGGGTAATTGAGGTTTAAAAATGCTTGGTAACCTCAATCACCCACCCAGAGAAATAAAAAAACAAATTGAAAGAGCCAGACGAATACCCAGAAACCATCTACTTCAAGACAGACCCAGGAAAACCAACAATAGAACACCACTTGTCATTACCTGTAGCCCCCAACTTAAACCCGTCCAATGCATTATCAATAAACTACAACCTATACTGGTACAGGATACTACCCTCCGATAGGCTCTGGGAGACAGACCCATAGTCTGTCTGTTTCAGCATACAGGTGTGGTTGCCTCATCTAAAAAAACTTATCTTGGCATTAGAAAAGGTTCAGAAAATGGCAACAGCAATGATTAGGTGTATGGAACAACTTCCATCTCAGGAGACATTAAAAAGACTGAGACTTTTCAGATTCCAAAAGAGCTGGCCAAGGGGAGATAAAATCATGGCTGGTATGAAGAAATAAAGAAGGAAAAGTTATTTACTCATTTTCATACAACAAGAACTGAGGATCACCATATGAAATGAATAGGTAGCAGGTTTAAAATACACAAAAACATTATTTTATCACACACTGCACGATCAGCCTATGAAATTCCTAACCAGAGGATGTTGTGAAGGTCAAGATTATAACAGGGTTAAAAAAAGAGCTGGATAGGTCCATCCATGGCTATTAGCCAGGATGGGTAGGGCTGGTGTCTCTAGCCTGTGTGTGTCAGAAGCTGGAAATGGGCAACAGGGGACCAATTGCTTGGTGATTATCTGTTCCCTCTGGGACACCTGCCATTGGCCAATCAGAAGATAGGATATCATTGGTCTGACCCCGTATGGCCATTCTTACACCTAAAAGTTGCGATAAAACACCCAGGAGTCTCTTACCTCCAGACACACCGTTGAGTTCTTCTCTTCGTAGGGCTCTCCCAAGGCCCTGAAGGTGGAGTTCAATAAAGTGCAGTAGGCCGCCTGTGCAGGGTGGCAGGAGGGAGCCGGAGCAGAAGGGAGAAGCACACAGCACAACACAAATTGAATGGCACAGCTGGAAGGTTGGGCTTGTGCTTAAGGCCTTGGGCTGGGACCCAGCAGCTGGGGTTTCAAACTGCAGCAGTCACTAAGCTGCTTTATTTTGCAAGTACAGTGGGGCGACCAATCCTGTCTTCTTCACTCAGAGTGTAAGTCTGGGATGCATGGACGGCCTCTTGCTGTGTGGCTATGCAGCACCTGACACAACGGAGACTCTGATCTTGGAGGGGGGAGGTATCTCTGCAGAGCCTGTTTGTAGCCAGAATACTACTGCAAAAGATTGTGGGTGGCAGAAAGGAACAAGGAGGATGGGGGCAGAAGTTCTGTTGGTGGCACCATGAGGCTCAGGGGAGGAGCTATGGATTCCTACTCTGGGATTTTCCACCCACTCAAGATTTGACAGTTCTTGCCACTCTCCTGTGCCCTGCATGTTGCTGCTGGTTTGCTGGCAGGAAGGGCAGCCTGTCGCCCCAGGGATGAAAATCCCCTCTGCCAAAAATGCTACCTGCTTTGCTGTTGGGGACGGGGCGACAGGCAACACTGACCTGGGCTCAGATTGTCCAAATCAACTCAGTTTTGGTGGCCCTAATGCCAGGTCCCTTTAAGAAGTTACTTGCCCGGGAAGTGGCAAGCGCCCCTTCCTGGCACCCCCAAAATCACTGAGTGGCTTCAGCTGGGGTTCCCTGCGCTGCCTTTGCCATGAGCATCCCGAGAACAGTGGGGCCTGGCGACGCTGCCAGGATACCTACATCCTCTGGGGATGAGCCGTGAGCTGTGTCCAGACTCTGGTTCTGGGATTTCCTCACCAGATCGTTCTCTTCCGAGAAATGGGCCCGGCGTTTGGAAGTGTCCTCTAAGAGGAAATGAAATGAACAAAAAAACTCTCAGTCAAATGTGAAGATTGTTAAATACGGTGGCCTGGGAAATTAGCCTACATTACCCCAGCCTGGGGCCCTGTCGGCACTGCAGCTACAGCTGTGGTTTCCTGCCTGGGCAGACACGCTCACCGGCTCTGTCTGATCTATAAACAGCATGGCCACCTTGCAGCTCAGGCTGCTGCCCCAGCACACACCTGGGATCTGGGACAGGGTGGCCCTGGATTCTACGAGGGAGAAACCAGGCTGGTCATGCGTCACACTAGGACACCAGTGTTCTACTGCTTCAGGCCCCGCACACTGATCCAAACCCCATTGGATCCAGTGGGAATCTTTCCATGAATTAGCCCCAGAGCCCTATTCCATCCGTCACTCTGCCCCGTGCCTGAACCGGCTCTCACCATTCCACTGCACTGCTGGGTCAGTGAAGCGTTGTTCCCCCCAGCTGAGCGCAAAGCTAGACTTGCAGGGGCAGTAGTGACCCCCTGGGTGTGAGTGGAAGTGGCATCTTGTAGCCATGAAGCTAAAATGTAGCTTCATGCAAAGTAATGTGCCTCAGCGTACTTTGCCAGCCACCGTTTCTGTGTTTATTGAGAATACAATTGCAAGGCAGTTAGCATATGCTTACATAGACACACACACACACTGTCCCACCAATCGATGCTATATTTACCAGTCCATGGTCTGAGGATTGATCACTAGCATGGGAGTACGGGGGGGGGGAGGGTGTCTATCAGTCTGGACCAATGCTCCAGTCATGGCAGGATGTCCCCACTCTTAAGGCAAAACAGTTCTCCCGTTACAACAGTTTTTTCCATCAGGATCAGTGGGGCCTGCAGCACTGGGTGCGACTAGACCACAGGGCTTTTTCAGAAGAACGGCCATTTTTCCAAAAAATCTTCACTTACGTCCACACTGCTATTGTGTTCTTTCGAAAGAAAATCAAAAGAATGCAGAGGGTTTTCTCAAGCAAAATGCAGGACAATGTAGCACTTTAAAGACTAACAAGATGGTTTATTAGATGATGAGCTTTCGTGGGCCAGACCCACTTCCTCAGATCAAAATCCCCGTGGGTGCTCCACGTCTGGTGCCGGGCTGGTCCCGGCGCCGCGAATCGGAGCTTGCCATAGCTGTAATCGACCGGGTCGCGCATGCGCGAGTAGCGTTCGCGCCTTTGAACAGCCGCGCGTGACCCGGTCTCCGCCAGTTCCTCTCATCCGCCCCTGGTCGCGGACGGAGCTCTACTTGTCTTCTCTCTACCTCAGAGAAACGTGAAAAAAAAATATTATTAATTAACACTGCCATTTAAACAAAAGGAAAAACTAAGTAACCGGATGTAATTAATCTTAAAACCGGCGGTTCAAACCGGCGTGTGCTACGGAATCACTAGTATTGTGGCTTGGCAACACCGCTGAGGCTAGGGCCGAATCAGAAGCCAAGCGCTGCACTATTGCGTAATGCCTTGCAAACGTCGTGTTGGAAGACCACGTAGCAGCACGGCATATGTCGCGTAAGGGTACCCCTCTAACAAAGGCCGTTGACGTAGCCATCGCTCGTGTCGAATGAGCTCTAGGGTGTGATAGAAGCGGTTTCTTGGCCATGTTATAGCAGGTAGTAATACAAGAAACGATGATCTTCGAGATACGTTGGGCAGATAAGGCTTGACCTTTAGAGTGTCCCAGGGTGGAGACAATGAGACGATCCGTCTTCCTAAAGGCACGGGTTCTATCTATGTAGAAGGCTAGAGCTCTGCGGGCGTCTAGAGTGTGTAACAGAGCGTCCCGACTTGACTTGTGAGGTTTTGGGTAAAAACATGTCAGAACGATCGGTTCATTGATGTGAAAGTCGGTACAGACTTTTGGCAGAAAAGCTGGATGTGATCTCAATGTCACAGCCTCCTTAGAAAAAACTGTATATGGGGGCGATGACATCAGTGCTGCGAGCTCACCCACCCTACGTGCCGACGTTATAGCGAGGAGAAAAAGTACTTTCATCGTGAGGTGAGGCAACGGGGCGGTTGCTAGAGGTTCAAACGGGGTTTTAGTTAAAACGTCGAGGACCAAGTCAAGACTCCACGCAGGTGGCGGGGGCCTAACTGGTGGATTAAGGTTAACGAGGCCTTTAAAGAATCTTGCCACTATAGGATGGGAAAAAACTGACTTCCCTTCGATGGGCATGTGGAAGGCCGCAATTGCCGCTGCATGAACTCTAAGTGATGATATGGACAGCCCATCCGTCTGCAGCTGAAGAATATAGTCCAATATGACATTAAGTGGTGACATAAAGGGATCGAGGTCTTTAGGAGCGCACCAGCGAGTGAATCTTGACCATTTTGAGAGATAGGTCTTTCTAGTCGATTCTTTCCTACTATAGAGCAGGATGCGCTTTACCTGGTCCGAGCAAAGCATCTCGGACGTGCTGAACCATCTATCATCCAGGCTGTTAAGTGAAGGGTGTCCAGCCTCGGATGGAGAAGAGAGCCCTTCTGTTGCGACAGTAAGTCCGGTAGATGAGG